TATTGTCTTTTGGCCTTAAACAGCTAATCAAGGATCCCACGAGGGTAACGCAAGATTCAAAAACACTGCTAGATGTGATTTACACAAATCGCCCTCAGAATGTTTATAGTGTTAAAACCATTCCCGCCGGCTTAAGTGACCATGATATGATTGGTTGTGTCCGGAAGCTGCATAACCATAAATTCCAGCCAAGAACCATCACCTGTCGAAACTATGCTAATTATGATCCTATATCCTTTTGCAATGATTTACGGTCCAATAGTCTCACACCTGTCTTTAAATCCTCCTGTGTTAATGAAGCATGGTCTTTTTTGAAAGCCATTCTGAAAAAATGTATTGATAAGCATGCGCCAGCTATAAAGAAGAGGATCAAAGGGAAACTCTGCCCATGGCTTACACAGAAGGTAAAGCAAGAAATGAATACCAAAGATCAGCTTTTGAGAAAAGCGAGAAAGACAAATCGTGAAATTGACTGGTCTTCGTACAAGCGCCAACGAAACAAAGTTAACGGTATGGTAAAAAATTGCAAAAGCAGGTATCACCGTGAACTCTTAGAGGAGACTGTGGGTTCACCTAACAAATTTTGGTCAGCTATTAAAAAACTATACCCTACAAAGTCTACAAAGGAACCAGGAGCAGCTTTTCTCGTTAATGGAGCAGTAGAAACCGACAAAGAGGTTATTGCAAATTCGTTCTGCAAATTCTTCACTGATGTTGCGGGATCTCTAAAAAGAAAGATCTTCCCTCTTTGTAATTTTGTCTGGAAAAGGCCCCTTACAATAGACACTCAGCAGCCGCTAGAGAACTTTGAGTTTAGATCAGTCTCGGATAAGGTTGTCTTTAATGCATTAAAGAGCCTTAAGAGAAATAAGTCCTCTGGCCTTGACAACTTTCCTTCTGGAATGTTAAAGGACTCTGCTGATATAATAGCCAAGCCTCTCACGCATATAATTAACCTGTCTCTCGCAACAGGGTCTATACCTACTGACTGGAAAGCGGCTAAAATTGTACCACTTTTTAAATCTGGTTCAATGGCCGAAATCGACAATTATAGGCCTATTTCAATACTTCCTTCAATGTCAAAGATCCTGGAGAAAGTGGTACTTAAGCAGCTGATGGCTCATTTTGAACAGAATGGTCTACTTTCTCATTTTCAGTACGGCTTCCGTCGCATGCGCTCTACTGAACTGGCCGTTACTCATCTAACCGATGTTATCAGAAGAGAAGGTGAGAATGGTAACCTGACAGGCTGTGTTTTCATCGATCTATCAAAGGCGTTTGACACCATCAGTCACTCTGGCCTCCTGAGCAAGCTTTCAACTTACGGAGTTCGTGGAACAGAACTCGCATGGTTCACTGATTACCTTTTCTGCAGATCACAAGTTGTCCAATATAAAGGCGTGCTATCAGAACCTCAACCCATTCTCACAGGTGTTCCTCAGGGAAGTATCCTGGGTCCTATCTTATTCATTATCTTTTTCAACGATGTACATAAACCGCTTCAACACTCGAAGATTATCACTTATNGGATTATGCTAAATGCGTGTTGACCACCAAGGATACGAATTGAGTGAACTGTAGCAGACAATTAAAACAATTTCAAAAAGAAATTTATTTCCAATCCAAGAAGAAAACTTACAAAACACTTTTTCAATGAACTCGGAATAGGTTAAAATCTGTTGTATTTTGAACTTCTATATAAATCGCATAAACTGCTTTTATTTGTAATTTATTCCTAAACAGTATATATGGTATTTCGGTAAGTCAATAAAGCATTTCCAACTTAACACTTTTGAGTTGTAAGGCAAAACCACCTTTTAACGCTAACATCAAATTCTTGATTTAACTGTTCCATGTATTTCATATAAGGGAACAAGAAGTTAAACTTCACGACTAATTTACAATAAAGACTGAACTCCCAGAATCCGGTGGAGTTCTAAAGGGAAATATTCAAAACAACTTTTTCCTCCCCGATGCTAATTGACTGATAAAGGAAGCTAATTTGAAAACAGAATCATCTGCTAGTGTAATGAACCGAAAAATCAACAAAGCAGTGTTCACAATTTTGAACAAGACTACTAAAAACATATGAAGAATAATTTCGCTCTCAAACGCAAGACATACGAAATGCAATCATACTAGGTAGACATTTTGTGGGGTAAATTAGCCATCAAATTAAAGCACCTATCTTTGCATTTTAAAGTTAATTCAAGCTATATTCCTCGTTAATTAAGAGAGGTGTTTCATCTTGTTCCGTGTCCCATGGATAGAAACGTAACCTCCGGCAAGAACGTAAACACTTTTTGATTACGTAAAGAGAAAACCTTGCCAGCTGAGAGAAAATAGCGAAAGCGATCAAAACGGATACTATGGCTGGGACAAATGCCAAGGCACACACCTCAAACCACTCCAGACCTTTCAGATAAGCCTCCCTCAGTCCGTCAGTTGTGATGCCAAATGATAATGGAGTTGCTTTGGCCAGATTGGTGATGGCAATGAGAGATAAGGTTACAAGGGACAATGTTTCCGCATTATTCGCCATAGGATGTCGATAAGGATTCTTCAAAACATGATGGATTGTTATCAGAAGGCATGCTGCAGACAAAACGACCATGCATAACATAACATCAGTGATGAACGCCCTACAAGCGAGGAGGATTAACCTTCGACCAATCAAAACGCTCTCCCAGTAAAGTGTGCCATTATCAATATCGGTTGGCGGTCGAAAAGGACCATGGAGTATGTCCAAAACATCTGTGTTGACGACCTGCTGTCCAGAAGACTCAACGCCTCTCCTATTCAGCCTTCCCTTGAGAAGCCAATATATAAGAAATGGCAGCGGAATCATGCTGGCGGCAACAAACTCTCTTACTGTAATGGAAGATCTGTAAAGCTTTAAAGATCCCCAGTAAAGAACGAAGATGAAAGGAACTAGAAAAATGACAATGTATGCAAGAAGAAGATACTGCCACCATTGCATGCATGGAATATTAGCATCGATGAATAACCTCTTTCCAAATCCAATGGGGACGCAGTGCACCAGCTTAAGGGTCGTTTCTGCAAGCCTTTCGTATCCAAGCAACAACACTTCCATAACAACGGCCATGTAACGGTTAAGGGACGGCTTTTCTCTTCCCATAAACATTTTGACGACATAATGCACAGCATAAATGAAAACAAGG